AGCGAGTGTTTTAAGGTATGACTCTTCCAGTCTTAATGTACACATAATAAGTGAAAAAATATAAATGAAGGAAATATAGGAATAACAAAATCTTTATTATTGCTAAAGATTCTCACCTACGGCTTTAACTGAATTTTCATAAATTTTCTCTGAGTGATTTGACACTGCTCTTGGCACGTTTGACCAGAAATCAATTTACTACAAGCTGGTGAAAGCCAGCACATCGTTTTGATCGACAATATTTCTTAAAGAAAGTCAAACTTGGCGTTTTTCAATAGTCGAAGTCTATTGAGCATTGACGGCCCCAAGTAGTGTAGGGAATCAGAATGTAGAATTTTCCATTTTCGCAAAAACTGAATAGACCAAATGAATTTCTTCTTAGTTGGGATTCGAACGATAGAATCTTCTCCTCTTGAGATTTTTTCATGGCCTGTTAAAATTAGTTTCCTTTTTTGAAAAAACCTGTTCATGCATGTGAAAGCGAGCAATCGAAATTTGAATATTGTTATCAAATATTCTTAACAGTCATTCCAGTTGTCATTCTGGAAATTACTAAAAGACGTTGAACAGTTGACGACAATTTGTTTTGTAGCTCAAATACATTCGACAGCATTCCTTTGCCGAACTTTGATATTGGTGATTGTCTATCAGATTTGGAACTCCGTATAGCCTWCGCCCGCAAATAACGATGACAAAGTCTATAGATTAGAAAAACAAGAGAAAAATTAAAATAGTGGACTCGCTCAAAGAAACGAGAAGGATTCCAGAAGGAATAAAATAAAGGATCAAATGGCGTGTACGTGCTTGGATAGAATWGGCCGAGGAGCGGAGAAATACGAGTTACGACCATGAAATCTAAATAGTAACTAGCAAATAGTTTTTATTTAGTGACTATTAGTGACTATCATTCAACTGGAACAGCAAMAATACATTCTCTACACTTGGGAAATCGAGTACAAATTGGGAAAGAATACCTCAGTACTACTTTTCCGGTTAATGATAGCAACTTATAGTCACTAAATAAGAACTATTATGTAATAACTATTTAGATTTTTTTTTCATGTACATAGTTTAAGCACTCGCATGTATCAATTTAATGTTTATTATCAATCACGAAACATTTTGTATCTGGTTACTTTTCTCTGAAATGTCTTATTTTCTGATACATATTGATATAGATTGCCAAGACAAATTTCAGATGTGCAAAAGGTTGGCTAATGAGGGGTACTGCTCGACAAATATCGACTGGATGAAGATAAACTGCAATAGAAGCTGTAATTCGTGTGGTATGTGGATAATTTCAAACGTCAAAAACCTTTATAACAAAAATCGTTAAATCGTAACTTTACGACAAGTATACGTATGACGTAAGGAAGACTTAATGTCAGTGTTATCCTATGAAAACCAAACAGATAATAATAACATTCTAGTGGGGTGGCTAAGCAACAAAAAATTGCCTATTTTACTACATACATACATACATAATGTATGTGCATTTTAGCGTACAGGCGCCATTAAACTTGGCACAGATGGTTCTTGGGTCAATCCGAGCGATTTCAGAAGGGATTCCAGAAATGGTCACGAAYGCTTTAAATCCCATATTAACAAAAACAAAAAAACAAGCAAACAAACATAAATAAAGTTTTATTTTATTGTTAAATGGTTTTCAAGTTATTTTGTGGTGAGTGTATAAAGCTATACGAAAATAACAGGGAATTGATAACAAAAAACTAGAAGAAACGGTATATTTATAATCAATTATCCTGCCAAAGTGGTATGCATAAAACTATGTACACACACAATTAAGAAGACAAAAGAGAACTATTGCTAAAATTATTGTATTTTTTGGCGGGAAAATCAAAAGTTTACAATGTATCCGGCCTAAGCAGTTTTCTCCAGAAGCATTCGGATGGGCACTTCAAGATGATGTTTGGCAGCCAATTGGACCAGTTTTCCCGGAGCGTTTAAATCATGCATGAGTTGCTGAGTTGTGAATCCAAAACTAGATTTGCCAGCAAGCGTTRTTAGTGCATAAAAACTAATCTTCCTTGCATAGAGCTATGCCACTGCGTGCACAGACACGTGCCAGAATTCTAAGGGGGAGTTTTTATAAATATCGCTGTATAAGCCTCGACTGAATYAGCAGTTTCTATGTTACGACGTCTATTTGCTCGTGTAGATGCTACTGACTCCAAACCTCTGTCATCTTTGTTGAAATCGTTTGAAATGGCCTGGTCATCTTCACAGAATGTCAAAATCCTGACTTACTCACTGTTCTGCGCATTGTTCTGAAAGATGGCAAACGACCAATTGGCCGAACACACCTGACGTATAAAGATGTTCTTAAAAGAGATATGAAATATTTCCACGTCTGCTTGCTTTCTCTTAAAGAAAAGACAAGGAATCATTTCTTGTTACAAACAGGTATATGAAAGGTTTTAAGAATTTTAACGAACAATTTGCTTTAAAYAGTCAAGAAGCCGCAATGCCCTTTACGATCCATAAAGTGCAATTTCCCTGAAGTAGATGACCAATCTGTGGCTTCCTCTTGATGGCCACGCCCTCCAATAAAGAAAGAACCATCACCGCTAAAACAGCAATCTACACCCAGATACGCCCCTAATACAGTGCTACCAAATGCAATTGGTCTWGACTGTCAGCTTTATGAAGTACTCGAACATCAAACATATGAAAGTCATTGACAAAAAAAAGYTTGTATCAAGACGTTTTGAGCTCTTGTAACCACCTTAAGTAATACAACGTCTCYGTACTCCTTAATGCATGCCCATATTGTAATATTACCGCAAGGTTCGAAAAGAGCAATAAATTTGCTAGATTTTGCTAGATTTTCAAAAATGTTAAGGGGTCAAAATACTTTTAAATCTCGAGCTATTTCATACATATCAAAGTCATTGTTTACAAAAGCAMAATGATTGGATTGACGGATTCCAGTACATTCGCAACCAAGCCAGAAGATTCCACACATTGCAAACAGATYGGCCATGATTCATAGGAATTCGTCTCCCGACAAATGGCGGTATGTARGTTCTGGGTTAAACCCTGCCGACGTTGCATCGCGTGGCATCAAAACTCGAGATGTAAGCAAGTTCCAGAGTTTCTGAAGGAGATAAGCACTCTTGGGTTGATCAACCAAGACAGCTATTTGAAATTCCAGACGACGATAAAGAAGTAAAGAGGGCAGAATTTCAAAGCTTTGCAGTAACAAGAGGGAACACRATGGATTCTCTACTTCATCGCTACTCCTCTTGGAGCCTTTGCTTAAGGCTATTGCATGGCTACGAAGGTTCACCCAGTTTATTCTTTACAAAAATTCAAAAATGCTAAAGATGTAGGGTGGGAATTTTCAAAAAAAAGGAATTTCGATTTGCAAAAGACGATTTTGACTCTAACACTTAACACGAAGAGACGTGATTCTCACCCTTATCCGGTGAACCACAAAGTCGAAATTTAGGCATTCCTTTTATTTAAGGGTCCTTTTCCCCCCGATATTGTTCTAGATGTTAAATGTTTTTAACTGTAAGATAGAGTTTCACTACTAGCTGTTGTCATGTGGTACATTGGGTTGTCTTAATTTGTAATCTCGGAAACTTACCTTTTTTTAGAAACATAGGTCACCGGCGTAGTTCGTAATATGTAAATTC